TCTTCCTCATCTACAGGGCTCCAGAAAAATTCTCATCTTCCTTCTAACTGCCAACTGTCCTCCATATTCACCACATGCTTCCTTATGCCCACTTCTGACCCTCCTATTTTGCAAGAAGTTTGCTGGTACTGATCTTTCTTTCTTATGCATTTCATTGCATGAAAGCTCTGCTCAGCCAAGGCTGCACTTGCCCTTCAACAGGACGGTTAACAGCTGCTATTACATTCAGTTATCACCTTAGCAATCTCAGACAGATGTTGACCTCCCTGTGTTTTTTCTGTGCAAGAGTTTGCTCGGCTACAGAAAGTTCAAAGCAAATTAGTAAATGCTTTGGAAACATCAACTTTTAAAGCAGGAAATTTGAAATTTTTCAAGACAACATAGGTAGGGGCTGAAATAAACTGGAGAAGCTGAAATGTGCATAATACAAAACAGATGTCAACTGAGCTTTGAGAACACAGAAGGAAAAGAAAGGTCACTGTGTGGCACAGACTCCCAGCTGCCCAATGCACGCAGCACAGCATGGTGTGGTATCACAAGCCAGACCCGAGGGCTTAAGTAGCAGGCTGGTCACTGCACCCTGCCTGGTGCCTATACTCTGCCAGACCTGAGCTGGCTTGTACAGTGCCATCCTGATCATTTCCATGTCCTCAGCACAGCTATTGCATAGCCTGAAAAACCTCCCCACATGTAACAGGAGTGCCTGCAAACAGAAACCTTCATGCCTTCTGTAGTTTGTCAGGATTGAAAAACTGTAGAAGTAAAAATGCCCCATCTACAAGAGAGCAAGTGTCAGTGTCAGCACACAGTTCTCAACAAGGCTAGATGAATGCTTCCTCATTTCTGAATTTGTACTAAACTAATAAAAATTAAAATAGCTTTCAGCATGTGATGTCTGGGGGTGTCATGTTCCCATGATGTGCTAAACAAACCACAGCCTAACAGCTGCCCTAGAGGCAACAGCATAGCCTGAGCAGGGCCAGTGTGCAGGCTCTGGAGAGGTATTTGTCCTCACCTTGTCCTGTGCCATATGCTCCACTAGCTGAGGATTCAGCTATCAGGAAGCTGAAGCTTGGTCATTTTTGCATCAGGCTTAGTTCTTCAACGTGTGCTGACACTGCTGTTAGAAGAACTGGTGAACACGTGTGGAGAGAAGACACCTTCCCAGAGGAAGGCACCCAGACAAATCATTTCAAACATGGTCATTAACTCTCCCTGCTAAGTGCTGTAAGAATTGAGGGCTGCCTTACTCAGGAAAAGTTCAGTCTGGTGTAGAGAATGGACTTAACTGAGACCTTCTAAGAGCTCCTGACCTCAAATCCTTCACCTAAAATCCTGACAATTAAGTCCTGGGAGCAGAGCACAGGCTGTCTCTCTCTATGGGAAAGGTCTGCTGTCACAAACACTTGTACTTTAAGTCACCCATGCTGGGGTTGGCTGCAATCAAACTATAAGGCAGATGCTAATTTTTTATTACCAACCAAGAAGAAAGTTTTCACAGTTTCACCCAAAAAGGGAACTATGTACACCTGGGGTTGTCTTCTCTTCAGAGGAAGAATCAGAACATTTGCATTTGAGACCATTCAAAAAACTTGGTCTGTAGAATCACACGATGGAAGAGGTCACCTAGTCATTTTTTTTCCCACACAGAGGTAGGATCCAATACATTCATCCAAATACTTTTGCCATGAAACCAGCCTATCTTAAGTAGGTTCCTCCTTCGCAAGAGTCAAGAGTGACAGCGGATGGCTTACCTTGGCAACTGCTCTGATGTGCATGAACAAACAGCCTGACATTACGCAACTCTTGCATGCAGCTGACAGCTCACATGAGGTAGGGCTCCCATAGCAGCAACAGAAGTCCAGAAACTCTGAATCTTTGTGTACCAAACTATTTGGAAAATGCTACAGCAGACTGCACAGCAAATGAGTTTGGTTTTATCTCATTTTTTCTCTCAGTCAAATATTTTCTAGATATATTGACGTCAGTTTGAATCAATGTATACTTGTTGAAGTGAGAAAACAGAAAATAAGCCGATTTTTTTTTGTTACGTAGAAACAACAACAAAAATCCAAAGCACAATCTCCCATTCAAAACACCATTTACATAAACCTAAAGCACAGGGTTTTTTCAGCACATGCTATCTTTCAGCAGAGATGACACCTCTGGAGAAGGACTCTACGTCCAACTGCGAAAAGTCAGACTGCAGTGCCTTACCCCAAAGAAGTTTTGCCATAGATGTATGGCAGCCAGCCCACTAAACAGCCAGGCTCACAAGACGTACTGCCCAGACAGACAGCATAGCGCTACCAGTAAGACTCACCTCTGCCCTCTCCCACGGCAGGCGCTAAGAAGTGCTGGGAAGATCCAGCACCCAGGTCCCCCAGGCACAGCCGCCAGTGTGCCAAGGGGCAGCCAGCTGTACAGAGAGCGAGCTAGCTCACCTGTGGAGAACCACTTGTTGAATCGGAGGAAGAGAGCCAGGTCAGCTTAATACAACTCATTGACTGCATCCAACATCAAAGAGAGTGGAGGCTGCTCTTTAGTTGACAAGGCTCTGCATTCAGCACACCACTGCCGACAGATATGCTTTCCCAGCTGATATGTTTAACCCCAGCCGGCAACTGAGCCCCACACAGCTGCTCGCTCACTCCCCCCCAGTGGGATGGGGGAGAGAATCAGAAGGGTAAAAGTGAGAAAACTCGTGGGTTGAGATAAAGACAGTTTAATAGGGAAAGCAAAAGCCCCGCGTGCAAGCGAAGCAAAACAAGTAATTCATTCACTGCTTCCCATCGGCAGGCAGGTGTTCAGCCATCTCCAGGAAAGCAGGACTCCATCACGCATAACGGTTCCGTGGGAAGACAATCGCCATCACTCCCAAACGTCCCTCCCTTCCTTCTTCTTCCCCCAGAAGCATACTTCCCCCCCATACTGAGCATGACGCCATATGGTATGGAATACCCCATGGGTCAGTTGGGTCAGATGTCCTGACTGTGCTCCCTCCCAGCTTCTTGTGCACCTGGCCGAGCATGGGAAGCTGAAAAGTCCTTGACTAGTGTAAACATTACTTAGCAACAACTAAAACATTAGTTATCATAATGTTATCAACATTATTCTCATACTAAATCCAAAACACAGCACTACACCAACTACTAGGAAGAAAATTAACTCTATCCCAGCCGAAACCAGGACAGGAGCATAAAAATCAGATTTTGCGTGCTTCCCTGTGACAAACAGCTTCTATAGAGAGAAGCAGTTGATCCAGAGTAGTTTCTAGCTGATCCATTCCCATGCCTGTCCCCTTCCTTTCATGTCAGATTCTCTTTGATTTTTAATGCGCCCAAAACAAGCGAGATGGGTGAAAGCCTATCACTAGTAGGGATCCACTTGGCTACGTGAAACCTCCCACTACAGCCAGTCCATCTAATGAAAGACAGAGACACTGGCGCTTCCCGCTCAACCTGTAGCCCAGGAAGCAGGAGTCTTTCTTCTGCCCCATGTTGTGCTTGCGCACGCAGAATGCAGCAAGCTAGAAGAGACTGGCGAGAGCTGGCTCCGGGAAGAGATTTCAGGATCAACATCCCTTTGTGCTCTCACACACTCTTCAGCTACCCTAGAACTTACTCCTACTCTGGCCTAAAATAAATCTGACGGTCCTCGGACATGTTAAGTAAAACCATTAACATTAGTAAGACAGGGAGATGTTGTTTAAACCTCCCTAACTTTGGATAGTATATTTAAAAATCAATAAAATATTGGTGCCATGCTCTAGACCCAAGTTTGGAGGAAAACAGTAACTAAACTTTTACTTTTGCCAGAAAGTGTCTGAAAAGCTAATTTAATCTCTGGTCAGTTTTATTTTTCAGAGTACAAAAGCTCAGCCACTGTTTTCTGTCTTCTTCCAAGCTGAAAGCAAAGGAGCCAGACTGCTTTAGCCCCAGGCTATCCATTGGGAAACCAAGATGTTTTAGGGGTGTTTGAAAAGGAGATGCAAACTTTAGTTTTTGCAGGTTTTTAAAAGGTACTAGGAAACATCTGTTGTGACCTCGTTACCTGAGAATGCCATCTTCAGCACAATCCCTAAGTCATCTTTTTTCAGGGGGACTGTTTTGGCCAAGATCATGACTTTCAAAATTTATTTTTACTGTGATAAATTTGTCATCATGATTATTGCCGTTGTTATCCTGGCATAAAGCAACTTCATGCGCACAGCGTCAGACACACTAGAAGACTGCACTGCCTCATTTTTGCCACTAAATACAGATAAATCTTAATCCAAGATGCAACCACAGGACTCCAATCCTGCTAAGGCTGACAAAGAACACTGTAACCCTAAGTATGGCAGCATCATAAAAACATCCTGGCAAGCACAACTCCCTGGAGCTCTCCACCTTCACTTCAACAGAAACTAAGACCACACATTTCTCTGGAGTTTAGGAAAGTTCAGACTCAATTAAAACTCAGTACATTGGGCTTCTGCAGTCTCCAGCTGTTAATACTTCCGCGCTAGTAAGTCCTCTGTGCTTGTTATGAGGTGACCACTTTCAGACTGACTGGGTTATTTTTAAGGCCATCAGTGCAATTCTCCAATTAATCTCTGCTGTTCCATCACAGGTAACAAGGTAATCTGTTGCCAGTATGGTTATATCTCTGACTTTAGGCCCAGTGCTAGAGAATACATATCAGACAACCTTATTTTGTTCTGGTATGACAGAAATGTAAGTCTGAAGGAAAAGATAATTTTCCATTGATTGGGGTCAATAAATTGCAGGGCACAATATCTACTGGCAGAACTTTAAAGATACTCAGTTTTTATTTTTGATTTGCATTCAAAACCAGGCACCTAAGATAACCTCCAAATTCAGAAGTTTTCTGTGAGTCACTGGTAATCTCTCCTGAATTAGGGACCAAATGACCAGGCATAGAAAAATTGGCTTGCAAAACTTCCTAGTTTACAAGGGTTGTGCAATTTGCTTTAGTTTTCTATTTCTATTTCTATTTCAGTAAAACACATTACCAGTATTAAAATAAGGATAAACAATATCATGTATCTCCCTCCTCCAACACCTGACCAGGAAGCACAACTCCATGGCTGCTACCTTACCTTCTGAAATAGCCTTCTTGACAGCTGCAAGGTAAGCATCAGGCTCATCATCATTTGTGAGTTCTTGCCACTGAGACCAGTCCTTGAAAAGGGTCAAATACTCATCACAGTCCGTAACACCGCAGAACAGCTTGACTACTTTGTACGGGGGCCATAAAGCTTCCTGAAGGCTCTGCAGGACAGGAGGGAGATAAAAACTCTGCACCAGCTCAGCAGATAGCAAAAGGATGATGCTCCGACTTCTGCTGAACAGGTCCAGCTCCTGGTGGGAGATGGCAGACTCTCCTTCCAGCTGGTAGCTCAGAATCCGATGCTTTCGAACGTGCCGAGTAAAGAGGAAGAGGTTCTGGAGGTACTGACACCATTCAGCGGCATCACTTGCATACACAATCAGCACATCATATCCTCCAGGGGTTCCTGTACAGGTGCAAGATGATCACAGGAAGGAGGATTAAATTCAAAGCAAGAACTGACCCACAGTTTGAAGCAAAAAACCCACAGGGCTGTCCCTATAATTCATGTCCAAAGCTCCAAAGCACTCCAAAAGAACAGTAGATATATCCAAAGTGAGGTGTTCATAGACACAGAGCAATTCTGAGGGTGGTTGAACTCCTACTTGCATTTACCCCACTAATACTTAAGCAGTTTTTTCATTCTCAAAAACCTTCCTATGAAGAAGGGAATTTCCTGTGCAAATGAAACAAACCACATGTGGAGATTCACAGATTTAAAGCATGTTGGTAGGAAAAAAAAAACCACAAAACGCCGACCTCCAAAACAAACTAGCTTGAAAAGGGGAGTTCACCTTTGCATGCAAAGTGAAATAATTTTAGGCAACTATAGGGTCTCTGCAACACAACTGCAGACCATTACATGCTCAAGTGGAGTATACACTAAACATAGCACACCTAAAATAAGAAACGCCTTCATTTAAATGAAGTCCCTCAATGCTTACAGGAAGTCACTATGGCTTCCATGGTGCTAGACCAAGCTCTCATTGCAGCAGAAAGCAAACTGCCTGCAAAGTATGTGTGCAACTGAAGGGTACGCCAGCCCTGGTGCTCGCTGCGCAGCAATCCTATCATTCCGGCTTCAGATACTTTGCAAGCCTGTGTTAGAGTCCTTTCCCTAGAACTGTCATACAAAGGTTTCCCAACCATTTTGGCACGACAAACCCTCTCTTCAGAGGAAAAGAACTAATACAATAGCGGTGGCCATAACACAGCCCAAAATATGGTCGCCAAAGTTGACTTACTCCATAATTCTCTAGAGACAGCTCCTACCTACACACTCCTGCACTTCTGTGCTCTGGAATGAAAGCACTTTTAAAACTGTTTCCAGCTTGGTAAGAAGATCACATGCAGACTGAACCAGCATCACATGATGCAGTGCTCTCCCACCAATCTCAAGAAAACTTTTAAGTCTAAATCTAACTTTCCAATTCACCTGTGAAGAAGTTTACCCAAATGTGAGAATTACGGCTCTGGTCCCATGGTAAATTTCAGTGCTGAGCATTTCAGATCTTATTAGCAAATGGTCTTCTAATTCCAGTTTGACTCTTTAAAAGTGTCAACATTTCCAACCCACCTCCATCCAGAAGCAAGCAAACAAAGGCAGATTTTTCTATTTAAAATAGAAGGCAATGCCTAAAATTGGGCATGCCAAAAAGAGCATCTGCAGAGAGTGAATCTACCAGAATTGAAGATGACAGTTTTGCAGTCACCTTATTAAAATTCAACCAAAATTGAACAGCCTCCAAAGACTCCATTCTACCACCTTCCCCAGAACCTTCATTAAGAAATGAAGGCTGAAATGATGTCTAGGCTATGGTACCCCAGCTCTAAACCATACAATTACCAACTTGAAATTGTAGTTGAGCAGAAGTGGTACAGTTGAGAAGTAAAGCATGGAGATGTGCTCTGTGCTGAACCAATAGCATTATGGTCACCTGCATAAATGGGAAGTCTCTAGCAGTGAAAGGATGATGTCTTAGCTATGGAGAACACAAACATTGCAGTTCAGCAGTATTCACTAGGATGGCTGTGTGTTTCTGTGTGAATACAGCTCCTCAACGCCAGATGGAGGCTTGTAGGAGACAACATTCTCAATGGAGGGGATCCAGCAAACTCGTAAGGCAGACAAACAGACCCAAAGCCTTGGGACCTTTAAGCTAAGAGTGCAGAACTGCTGTGAAAAAAGATCGCTTTCACACCGGTGAAAACACCACTATGACCGAAATATCGCTTCTGGCTGAACACCACCTGACGAAGACGACAGAATCACATGAGCAGAAACAGTAAAACCAAGCAGAATTCAGGAGGTCAGTTGTTTTATTCTAGAAAGGGAGGAGTACCAGAGACTTCTGCTTCAGTGCCACGTGTTGATTTACATGCAGTACAGCGGGAAAGGGCAGCACAACTATCTGCTGAAAACAGAGCCCACGCATTGCAGCACAGTAAGCTGAGCCCAACCTCATCAGATGGGGAGGCAACACAGCGACTCTCTGAGGTGTGCCCAGGGCTCCTAAAGTCCTACTCTGGTGCTCTCTGGGAGAAGTCCCACCTCTGGACTCTGGGGAAAGCACAGCAGTGGCCTCCAGGGCATTTTAGCATTCTGTAAAATCGAACACCTAATCCTACCATGCATTTTTAAAAAGAGCACAGCTTCCTCAACTAAACCTGTTAGCAAACAGGCCCTTCTCCAGGCTTTCAATGAAAGGAAGCAGCTGTGCTTGGAGAGGACGCAGGGTGGGGGAGTAATTGATTTTAAACATGCATTGTGCTGTAAGGGCACTAAGTAGCCGAGAAGCCTCCCTTCTCTGATACGCAGGCAAAAGATGCAAACTTGACAGACTCTCTGCAAGTTCCCTGCCAGCATTTATATCCGCAGAGGCAACACCACCCAGAGCAGCGTAGCCTCTGCACCCAGTAGGAAGGAACTTCACCCCGTATTAGGAAGAATATTGATTCCCTAGATAGCACTGCTCTACTGGCACGCCATTCCCCTTAACAGACCTGTGCCAGCTCTCCTCAGGCCCTCCTACCTGAACTCCTATAGCCTTTTACACTTCAGGTGGGTGTTGAAGAGCTAAATAAGCCTAAGTCAGCAACGGGACTGTTTCAAAGAAAACAAAAATCTAGAAATAGTTTCAATTGCAACACCCTCTTTTAAAAGAAGGATGACACTGGACTCGCTTTCCTGGATGATGCTACTATTTGTCTAACAAATACCTCCCTTTGCAGCACCAACTGCTGTCCAGTCCTCAGGGAAAAGTGTAATAAATGGAGAATACAGAATGTTTTGGGGAGTTTTTCCCACAACTCTTCACACAGCACTTACAGAAAAACTCACAGAGCACACTTCAAAGCACAATGTGTACTCTGCCTATTGTACATATATAAGAAATCCCTAGGTGAACACCAAGCATTTTATTTCTTTAAACCCTGACCTTGGATGCTTTGACAATGCGTTCAACAGGCTGGTTTTGGAAAAACAAACAGAAGGAAGCCTTCAATTCAAGTAAGAAAGATATGAACAGTATATGCAATAGCAAGACAAAGAAAGATTTGTGCCAGCCAAGAGTTTCAAAATTCTTCCACGCTCTGAAGCGTAATCTAGTTTAAATTTTAGTAATACCTTGTTTTGGCATTCCTAAACTTAGGGTATAAAAGTGACTTCTGCTTCTGTTTACAAATGTTTACAAAATGTCAGCACTATTAATAATATTGCATGGCATTTTTAACTATTTATTATTATTAACTATTTATGAAAAACATCCAGGTGTGGTTCTGTTCCAGTTTGCAATGATAAAACATAACCTTTGGACTCCTTCCCAGCTGTAACTGCCTCTTTAGTGCTTAGTTGCACACTCCATTATACAGCAGCGATAAAAGACTGATGAGATTACAAACCAGTACTGTAGAAATGCTTAAGACCTCTAATTGATGTAGAAGGCCCACAGACTAAATAGCACAGAGACAGAACATGATACAAAGCTTTCCCTAGCTTATAAACTGCACGCAGAATGGAAGGGGATGAAGCAATTCAGTCAAAATCACAGAAGGCCCATGGCAAGAGAATAAAAGTATCCTCAGGTGATACTGTATCACGCCTTCATAGTCCCTCTCTGAGAAGCAAACAGATCAGGCTCATCTTCAGACCATGTTTGGGAGTAGTGAGGTGACAATCTTTGAGTTCAGAGCAAACATGGGATAGTGGTTTATGGCCATATAGTAAGGTTCCGATTACCACTGAAATAGCTAAACAATACTGCAGGAAGCTGGCATATCAGCTCCGGATAAGATTACATCTTGCCCACTTAACACTTCCCAAACTTGAATCAGATGTCATCAACTGTTATTACCTATTACTTCATTCTAAGCCAAAAGGTTTGACCTTTCTCAATTTACAGACTATAAATAGTTTTCCATTGTACTTGTGGGTCCCCATAAAGCAAGTCTAGGGCCTCTAGTAATACACAGCTTTTCTGTGTCACCTTTCACATCCCCCTCCTAAGTAGACCATGACTTCTCATTGTCCACAGACCAGGTAAAAAACTGACAGACAAATCCTTTACTCCAACTCAGATGATCATATGCAGTGGCAAGCAAATCTATTTTCCACCTCAAATTCTGCCTAAATGAAAAAGCGCTACCTAGCCTGTTATCAGTTTGCCTTGGGATTCACGTGTATGGAAGATACACGAATATGGCAGTCCAAAATATCCATCCTTCATAGAGGGGGATCCACTTCCTATGAAAGACAATTGCCTATGATATAAATGAAACCTAACCCAAGGTGTCTTAATAATCAAATTCTTAAAATAGAGAGCATTTCCAAGAGGTATTAGAAGCTGCTGGTGGGCCATTAACAGAAGTCCTCAGCACCTTACATACTTCAGTGTCCAAAGTGTGTGTATTTAAGTGATGTATGAGGAAATGAATGCATTCTTTGCCTAGCTGGAATGCATAACGAAGTAATAGTGATCACATGCAATAATTATTAACATCCTAGCGAGACCTCTCACTTTGACTGGAATAGAAAACCTTCACTTTAAATAAAGTGCTGCAAACAAGCAAAAGGAAATAGCAGGATCAAAGTAGATGCGAAAAGTTTTGCGAACCAAAATTCAGTGATTGGAACACGAAATTTGCATTACGATATGTGAACCCAATGTTGTTCTACTTTTAAGAGTCTCTGTGAAACCATCTTCTGTTTATAAGGAGAAAAGCAGTTTTGCCCACAAATCTCCTGAGGCCGCCGTTTAGCTTATTTTTACATCACGAGGAGATACACGTCAGTGAAACGCTAACGTTACTTCACACCCTGAGAATGGCACGTTTTTCCTTTTTTAGATAAAACCCCTGCAAGCAGGGGAACTTGCAAACTGGGCACTAGCAAGACTTACACAATACAGGCTAAACCCCTCTCCCCCTGGAGTTCGCAGCTCTATTCTAACCAGTTTTACGTGCACGTTAGCTAAAACATTTTCATTGATGGCAACCTAGCTGAGTTTGTTTGTGATCCTGTGCCACTGTGGCAAGGGGCATCAAGTCGTACCCCAAAAAGGAAGTATGCAAATGTAGGGGGATAAAGCAGTATTTAGGAAGAACCGACTTCTCTACAAAACATCACAGAAAACCACCTAGGTGGTAAAGGCTGAGCAGGGACAGATTCCTCTACAGAACACCCTCCTCCAGAGCTAGCTGAACTGCCAACCCGAAGTGCACTCCAGACACTGGAGAGCCCTGCCAGCACCTGCCCTGAGCACAAGCCAAGCGAAGCAAGATAAGGTGGAAAGCACAGCAACCTGGCTACGAACAAAGGAGCGACCGCTGCTTTGACGAGCCCCGGGGCTCCCCTAAACTCGGGGAGGGGACCCTCCTTCCCCTCTCCCCAGCAGCGGAGGAGCGCCAGG